AAACTTCACAGTCAATCATAAGCGGCCATGAAACAATTCAGGATTCCATTTATAGTAGTTTAGTCGTTTTGAATTCTGCCCTCTGCAGGAAAAGTTCGCAGACTTTTTCGCAGAGTCAGCTTGAAACAAATAAAATTTTATTCGAGATACCCCAACAAGATACAAGAAGGAATAAAACTCAGCAATTTTGAACTGACCTACAGTTGCTATGGCTGTTTCCGTTAGTAACTGCTTTTCCATAACGAAAATCTGTGGGTTTACATTGCTTTATTAAATATAGACAGCCCTGGGGGGTTCAACTTCATATCAGAAAGAGCTCATGCTGGTTACACGGCTGCCAGCCGTGCCTGGTAAGCTGGTATCGTAGAACGCAGAACTGCCGTAGGGAGGTCAAGAGTTCAAGCCTCAGACCGGACCAACACTCAGGGTCTTGAAGTAACTGAGGGGAACGTACTTCCTTTGCTATGACATATTCAAGTGGTTAGACTTTCTAGTCTTCTCGGATTAGGACTATAAATCCTTGGCTTCGTCTCCTGCATCTTCTGTATACTGTTTAGCAGGGGACGTCCCTCGACTTAGCCGTGAAAACTGCCTTACACAGAAGTTTATAAATTATTTGGACCAAAAGCAAAGCTCAGGAAAGCATTGTCCTCTATGCAGCTGACTCGGCAAGTGTAAGTACGGATGATCTTTTGGTCAGTGTTACATCATCCTGATCGGCGCACTAAGTTAGTACTGAACGAAATGATCGGGGCGGTCCTACATCTGAACGATGGAGGTTTTCTTCATCGTCCAAATCATTACTGGTCTTTTCCCCTGGTTTCCTAAAATTTTGTCGATCTCTTGAGCTTTATTTAGGACGATTGGGTTGACACAGACGATCATTTTGGAAGGCCAACATATTACGACCCGCATTCAACATCCCGTGGTACAAATCCTAAACCTGCAACCCTCTTGAAACGACTTTTTTGCGCTAATCATGGTTAATACTCTTGGGAAATAGCTTAATCAGCTCCTGGCCTTTATGCTGTGCCTGACCATTTGTTAACTGGCATTTTGTTGTCGTATGACCACTTTGTTTTAACTGCTTTGTTTCATAATTAGTCAATTTTTTTACACTCCCTCCCGCCCGGGGAACTTTCCTTGACCCCCTCATAAGTTCCTCGTTTCCTCATTAAAGATGCCCGAGCAGATTCACCGTCTCTTTTGTCTTTCTCTGTGCTGTAGAGTGTGGTGGTAGGGGGGGGGGAGCATTTTGATTTCGTCTTGTCAACTAATTTACGAGAAGGTAGAGGGAAAGTGTTATTGCATTACTAAACAGTCCGACAACATTAACAACAAACAGGATCACGATGATTGCCTTTAAAATTTTATTTGCTGTTTTATGTCTTAAGTGCGTCCAATTCTCAGAATTAAAACACTGGTTTAGACCGCTTGTAAGGAAATGAGAGCTAGTTTGCAGTCGAATTCGTGCCGATATTTGTTTCATTCGTATTAGTTAATCGTCGGTTTCCATACAGTCTGTGTTCGTTAATTCCATTAAAATGACTACATCTGTGTCTTTTGTTTTTCAAATGTTTAGCTTTCGTTAAGCAGTTTATGAAATGTCACCCTGCAGCTTTGAGGTCGTATCTCTGACCTCGGCATACAGTAATTTACTGATCTCGCAGCTTACTAAATAACCTAATAACTCTCGGTTTATGAGTTGTAAAGCCTGGTTTTTAATTGTCAAGAAAATCGTAGACGATCGGCAATTTCATTGTTTCCCAACCTTCCCCGATTTTCCAATAAATGAAACCTTGAAATCGTAGAGATCCCAGAAAACCGGGGACGTTTCTATTTTTTTGGCCTTACACACTTCCTGATCCATTCGGCGAACATTGCTGGTGCAGCAGCTGTGTACGCATCAACATCGCCATAATGCATTTATATTTCTCTGTTGAGAAGAAGTGATTTCTCTCCAAAACCGTTTTCTCGGATATTAAAACAACTCTTTGCGGTAGAGTTTCTTCCTTGAATTTTATGCAATATTAGCCACCTGGCGATCCCGGCTGAAACCTCTGCGCATTAGACAAGGAACTCACGTGTTACGCGACTTGCAACGTTATTTAGGGTAGGATTCTTAGCAAATAGCTGCCTTCCACAACGAACAAGATCTAGATGATTTTCTTCAGTATTTCATATGCTTTTGGTTAGTTAATTCACCTTTGAAATAAACTATCAGAATATCGTTGCTGTGTTATGTTTAAGGTGCAGAGCAGAGCCTAGTTTGCCGTCGAATTTGTCAATATAATATTTGTATTATCCGTTTAAACATTGCAATGGGCTAGCTTCATGTTAGTGTTCCCGATTATTTCGATATTTTCGATGGCTCCGTTTCAGGTTTAACTTTCTTTAACAGAATATTTATGTTTGTGACCCTGGAGCGTCGAGGATGCCTGTTTAGCGAAAACACTTTTAGTTCAGTATTTCCTTTACTTTCAACATTTTACGTTGTTGTTGATATGTTTCCACATACATTTCCTTAGAGCCATCGAAAGATCGCAAATTGGAGCAATTTGTTTTGTGGGTACTTCTTCCTATAGGAGGCGAAGCCACGTATGTTATCGAAATAAGAGCGTGATCATGGTGAAAATAGAATGCCAAACCTCACCCGATTTTGACTCGATGTCACACTTTGCTGGAAATACTTTGTTCACCTCGGCGAATTGTGGGTCTTTAACAGTGTCAGTTCCTTTGACCATGAAATGCCTATAGAGTCCAAATCGTAAATTAGTCACGTAGCTTTTCGAGTACAGGCTGTCATCACTTTTTTTTCAGCACTGGCGTAGACTTCTTCAGATCGCTGGTCAAAGCGGTTTTATGTAGGCGTTCCCCACCCCTGTTTGCCTATTCACTTTCCTTAGAGTTNCCATACCGGGCATGCGTACTCCAAAACAGAACGTATTAGAGCAGTATAGACACTAAGTAAATCCTTGGGTGGAAGGCCATTGCGGCGCAGGACACGAAGGATATAAAGTCGCTGAGCAGCTTTCTTTGTAATGCTAAGAATGTGACTACCCCATTTTAGATAATAGTATGCTAATTGCAGATCAGCCATCGTGTTCGTAAACATTTAAGCTACCTGAGAATTTATACATCTATAGATCATCGATGATCAATTTATCCAAATTATTCTTTAATTGAACAGTTGTCATTTGGTCCTTATTCGATAAGAGTACAGTCATTTTTATAAAGTTCAAGGTATCAATAGATGTTTGCAAACGAGAATCCAAGCGCGACGCTCGATTATTTTACCCGAAAATTCCCGAAGTTATTTTAAAAGAGTCTATGTGAAGACGAAACGCCGCGTCGTACCGACCACCAACTATTGTTGTTGTTTTATTTATTTATTTTTTTTTGTATGCATTTATTCCTCCTAAGAATTTTAACCAAGGGAAAGAATAACTGGTTAACTTTTAACTCCCAGAGGTGATTAATATGCAAGTTCTCCCAATAACATGCAACGTTATTCAGCAAACAGGTAATGAGAATACTCAGTTTATCCGGTTGAAATTCGAGTTTGTCATCTCAATCAAACATCAAATTATTGTATCTACTTCACAAAGAAATATGTAGCACCAAGAGGGAAGAGTGAACAATCAGACCTCGGGAGTTGAAGGTTTAATCTTGCCCAACCTCACCCCTGTCTGCACATTGTCTTTCCCGAGAGTTAGCGCCAACCAACACGTTGTATTCGCACGTTCACCCGATTTTCTTCGTGAAAAGTGATACAAATAATAATAAAAAAAGCGAAGAAAGCATTTTTCCTTAGAACAATACATTTAAAGAAAAAAAAGAAAGGAAGAATACTAACTTCATATATCCATCGTATCCAAAGAAAGAATACTAATAATAATAATAATAATAATAATAATAATAATAAATTAATTGAAATAATTGGAGACACTTTGCAACTCTGAAACAGAAAATGACAGTGGGTGTGCATATACGTATATATTTAAATTACCTTGTAAAACATATCTTTTTTCTCAGCACCTGTCGGTAGAGTGAACTAATAAACATGTACTTTGGTTAATTTGCATTTCAGGCGTTTGAATTTTTATCTTTTTGTTGACCGCTTGATCGCAACTAAACGCGAGCCAAGTACTTATAGCTATCAAAAGACAAACCGATGCAAACTTAAATCGAGAAACAAAGCAGGAAAACAAAGAAAAATAATTAGAAGCTGTTGGAAATGGAAGAATTTCTCTTGTCAGCCGACAATTGAAACAGTCTAATGGCGTTACTAAACGTTACGTCATTTGTCACCAGATGGCTGCAAGCTTCATGGGTCTCTCGCTTGATTGGCTGATTTAAAGGAATGATAATGTCATAATTCTCACTTTTTGATCAACAGAGATAGCGATACATTAAATACCGATGAGCCGTTGTGTTTGAAAACATTAAAACTACATGAGACTTATTCATCTATAGGTTATTATTATTCGTTTTCTAGGGATGGTTTTTGATATTTTACTCCCGAACGTCATTATCGTAATTATTATCGTCATTCTTGCCTTTCCTATCCTAACACATCAATCTTTATCATGCGCGTTACTATCTATTTTAATGGGAAATATTTAGAAATATTTTATGTCAAAGTTAATTTCTCCTTTGAAACGCCTTTAACGCTTCGTGCCTGAGGGTACGTTCACAATCTCTATAATTACCATCAGATACCTCAGTTACTCTCTATGTAAGTTTTTCAGCATGCTGGATTGAATATTATCACGGAGCAAAGTGGTAATAGAATTCCAATTCTATGAAACTGCTTATTCAGAAGTTAACTTAATTCTCCAGATGGTTGCAAGCCCACAAGATTCATGTCCTCTTATTGGCTTGATTCGAACCGAGGTAATCAACATAAATGATAACTGGATTCTGAAATACATCCTTATGCAAAGTAAACAGTACAGTCTTCCATTTTGTTGGATTTTTCATCCCGGAAAGAATATATTCAGCGACTTTCGACTTTGTTCGTCAAGAATCTACTTATTCTCAGAGAAAGACCCTTGATAAAGGTACTTTCATTTATATATTTTGGTTTGTATAATTCAGTTACTACCCTGCTGATGGGGTGCCGTGAATAATTTATCGTCGCTGATGATCATCATCTCTATTACTTCGATTCTGAGTAGATTTTGCCCATCGTTTTGCTCCTTTTTTTTTTCCGTTGGTAAATCATTAGTTTAAAACTAACTGTTTTTTAGAGGCATTCTTTAGTATCATACAAGTACTGATTCTAGTTCTGAACATGAAACATCTTCGACAGAGATAATATTAAGCTTTTATTAATAGCCATTTCTCTTTGTATCAAGCATTTGTGGGCCAATATTTTCTTAGAGTACTTTGCTTTCGGATGTTTTTTTTTTTTTTTTCAGATCAGTTAGAGTTAAATTAGCGTTTCTT